CCACCACTGAGAACACTGCAGCTCTATCCTCTTTCAAACCCCCCTGCAGGTAGTTGAAGGCTGCTATCAAATCCCACCTCAGTCTTGTCTTCTGAAGATTAAATAAAGCCAGTTCCCTCAGCCTCTCCTCATAAGTGATGTGCCCCAGCCCCCTCACCATTTTCATTGCTCTCTGCTGGACTCTCTCCAACTTATCTACACCCTATTGTGGGGTGCTCAAAATTGGACACAGTACTCCAGATGTGGCCTCACTAGTGCTGGACAGAGAGGAGTAATCACTTCCCTCGATCCGCTGCAACACTTGTACTAACGCAGCACAGTATGCTGTTAGTCTTCTTGGTAACAAGGACACATTGTTGACTCATATCCAGTTTATTGTCCACTGTAACCCCCAGGTTCTTTTCTGCAGAGCTGCTACTCAGTCAGGTTGTGGTTTATGGCTGGTGGAAGGAAAAAAATGGGGCTGGGATCAGAGGCTGTCATTGACTTGGTTCAATGACAGCTGGCAGGTGGGGGGGTGGGCCCAGTGCTTGGGTAGAGCACAGGAGCTCTGCCTAAAGCTAGTGTGCAACCCTGCACAATGCTGCCTGGGATGGCACTGATCACACTCCAGATTAACCCTTAATGGGATCAGGCACAGGCATTTGATAAAGAGCTCCAAGAGAAAGCACTTTAGTCAGAACAAGGAGCAATGGTCTCAATATGCAGCAAGGGAAGTTTAGGTTAAATATTAGGAAGAATTTTCTCACTAGGAGGGTAGTAAAACACGGGAACAGGTTACCCAGAGAGGTGGTGCAATCTCCATTCTAGAAGTTTTCAAGACCCAGCTAGACAAAGCTTTGGCTGGGATGATATAGTTGGGGAAGGTCCTGCTTTGAGCAGGGCGTTAAACTAGATGACCTCCTGAGGTCCCTTCAAATCCTAATTTTCTATGATTCTAGTCTAATACCTCATCCATTGAGGGTTAACTTAGAGCATGATCCACCATTTTTAAAGCAATCTAAGAGCCACAGACTTCTGTGCAGTTACGGCTTTAGAATGCTTTCTGGGCAATTAACACATGATAGGTGTTAAGTCTGTACCTAGCCAATGTTGTTTCTAAATGTAATAAGGATGAGTGATATCATCCTGACTCAACGGATAGACAGAAGAGTGCTATAAAATGGTAATGTGATGTCCAAAATTAATTCTTTATTTCTTAATTGTCCTGCAAGTTTGTCTTGGGGGGCAGCTTATGATTAAGGCCAGTGAATACCTTGTATTGTCCTGCAGATGTTGAAGACATGTAACAATGCAAAAGTTCAAGATTTAAGCCATATAAGCTGTGCATTTCCAGCAAGGAAGAGATCTATCTAAAATGTATCTGTATCTCCATATGATGATAATGAAGAACTAATTATTGTTTATAGCACTGTACTGTGAGTATCTTTCAATATTTGGCTACACCTTGCCACAGAATCTTGGTTTTCACAACTCTCTACCTTTGTCTCATCTTTCTGCCATAATTATGAATCAGATTAATCCAAATTTATGCATTTAAAATAGGAAAAACACAGACTCCTTTTTTATCAGATGGTTATCCGCTATGAAGTGATGGTAGCACTGCTTGTTATGTAGGTTGTGAGGCATTGCCAGTGATGAACAGCTGTTTTCAGTTGCTTATTACCTTGTCAAACTTTAACAACTGGGATTAAAATCTTCATGCTATCTCTGTCTCCATGTGAATTATGATAATTTTCTTTTTGCGAGGGATAGAATTTCAGCACAAATAGTACAGCCATTTCTGAGAATTAGATTAAGGAAAACATCAATTCATCCATCAATCTCATTTTCCCTCCTACAGCTTTCCAAAGGTAAGAGGCAGCAGCATCTGATCTCTCTATCCTACAGAATTTATAGTGAGTATGCTCTCAGACCTAGGCCATTATTTCTCATAATTTCACAGTATTTGTTTCTTTTCTGCTTATAGTTACTCCTTGGACTGTTAGAAAGTTTAACGATTTCTTTGCCTCCGTCTTCCTAAGTAGGGACCACAACAGTCACCTCCCTGCTGGGCCCCCCTCGGGCCCTGGGGGAGGCACACCTGGGCCAAGTGTTAGCGAGGATTTAGTTAGGGAGCTTCTGGAGGGGCTGGACATATTCAAGTCAGCTGGTCCGGATGATCTCCACCCTAGAGTTCTAAAGGAATTGGCCGAGGTCATTGCAGGACCCCTGGCACGGCTTTATGAGCACTCGTGGTGCTCTGGAGTGGTGCTGGAGGACTGGAAGAGGGCCAACGTGGTTCCCATCTTCAAAAAAGGGAGGAAGGAGGACCCGGGAAACTATAGGCCAGTTAGTCTTACCTCGATCCTAGGCAAGCTGTTTGAGAAAATTATTCTGGCACACATCCAGGAGGGGCCAGCAGGGGACTGCATGCTTAGGGGCAACCAACACGGGTTCATCAGTGGCAGGTCCTGTCAGACCAACCTGGTGGCCTTTTACGATCAGATCACCAGATCATTAGATGCAGGGGTAGCAGTGGACGTGGTCTTCCTGGACTTTTGGAAGGCCTTCGACACTGTCTCTCACCCTGTTCTCATTAAGAAACTGGGGG